ATTTAGCCGCTACATGAATATTTGCAGGACATCAAACAACAAATGAGAAAAGAAGTAATAAATATGAGCGATTGATGTTAATTCAAGGAGCAATGGTTTGCGCTGCAATAGAAATTGAAATTTTCTGCTTCTGTTTTCTGTCGCAAATTGCATTAAAAGTAGCTGGCAAAGAAGCAGATATTGCAATTAACATTTTCGTTAATTGCTACGTTATTTTGAACAATGCTGTATTGCCTACTGCTAATTTAATTTTTGTCAAACGATTTCGTGACGAAATTAAAACAGCAATTCTAAAATTATTATCCAAAACTTTCAAAGTAAAACTCGTGAATGCTCTGGCCCCGGGGACTATCATATCGACTAAAGTTCAACCGATTTTTCATGTACAACGGAATTCGCGCATACAAGTGACCACTCGTGCACAACCGATTTCCCGCCTAAAACCGATTTTTCGTGCATGCTAATCATCTATGCTGCATTTTTATACCGTATTTCAGTTTTACATTTAATCCCAAATTTGTGTATTTCTTCTTTTAAAAGAATCTTCTAACAGTTTTTGATAACGAAAAATTATTTATAAATCACTGCAAATAAATACTTTGAAACATGAATTGCATTAACGGAAATTCATATTACATTTTATTTTGAACTTCCAACGACCTATGCATTAAAGAATAGCGTAATATAATGGAAGTACCAGATTTTATGAAATGGGTTTCACCGGAGCAAGCATATTGTAGTATTTCATCATGCGTTATACTCTAATGATTCCCTATAACACTTTGAAAAGTTTAATCTTTGAGAATGGATGAGTCAAAATTTCACGCAAATTTACGTTTACATAGTTGAAATCGACTATAAAACCTTTTTATTCTTTATATTATTTTAACATAAATTACAAAACTTATTAACAGTTCCATCTTTCCGTAAGTAAGCTTGCAGTCTGTATATTCCATCTTGCCGTTATTCTTTCTTTCAATTATGCACTTATGCTTCTTCGAATCACAGAGACAACCTTTGTCTCTGAAACAGGAATTTTGCATCTGTTTTAGTAAATTTCTGAAAAAAACCTTTACGAATATACAAAATCAAAATTTTGATAGAAGAAGCGGACATTCCAATTAAAATTTTTCTGTTAATTGTTACGTTATTTTGAACAATGCTGTATTGCCTACTACTAATTTAATTTTTGTCAAACGATTTCATGACGAAATTAAAATAACAATTCTGAAGTTATTATCCAGAACTTGGAATGTGAAGCTCATGGATACTGTAACCCCGGGGACTTTCATATCGACTAAGGTTCAACCGATTTCTCGTACACAGCAGATTTCGCGCACACAACTAACCACTCGCGCACGCTAATTATCTATGCTGCATTTCTATACAATATTTCAGTTTGATTCACAATCATCCAATATGATCGAGAAAATGTAATTAGAAATAGATCATGTACTCGATTCTTCTGATTGAAGGATGTCTGGGGGCAAACAATATTATTCTCGAGATGAGAAACGACCTTTATAGAGCTATCACATGGGAAGTTTCTAAATCGACTGATAAATCCGTTATATCTTCTAGAAATTGAACAGCAGGAAAAAACAAAATTTTAATCAGCAAAGTCCGAAGATTTCCTGAATAAACAACAAACTAGAAGCGTAACACAAGAAGGAGATGACAACCTAACTCCATCAAAACAATGGGCAACAATGAAGGCAGTAATTACTTCAGTTTGGGAGTGTCACAAACCCGAAAAACTTTGTAATATAAAATTATTCATACAAAAGTATCCTTATATTTATGATTAAAAAATTATTGCAAAATCTTAGTCATATGTCTGTCACAATTTCTTTGTTATGTATAATATGCTTTGTTTACTGTTCCAAGAATATCGTCAATAAATTTTAAAATATAAGATATATGCACTTTTTTATTTCTTTAGTAGACGATTCTAAAGAATACCGGCAAATGATTTACACGCAATGATTTCTTATCATTGGCTTTATCTGTATGCTTAGATGATACCCGGTTTACCAAAAGTCTTTTTGTATCTTTTGTATCAAATGACCTCCTATCTTTCTTTGTCCCTTACAGTGTTTACCGACCACTGTCCAACTGGAAGGAAACGCAAGTAATGTAGCTCATTGCATCGAAACAAAGCGAAAAAATTCTACATTCTTTCGAAATGTGGAATTTGTTAAGGTATTCT